GGGGCACTATTCTTTCCACTGATACCATTTTTTTTCCCAATGGCTATTCCTTGGGGCACTATTCTTTCCACTGATACCATGTCTATTCCCAATGACCACAGGCCATTTCCCCTAAAGTCTATAGGGCAGTAAAATGCCCCTTTTTTAGAACGTTTGGAGACCCCCTAGTGTAGATAGGTAGGCTCTGATTATAGTGGTTTTTGTGATATCCTGAACTCTTATGGTATATAATATTCAGTGAACACCCCACGACTACCAATACATATGGTGTCAGGAGGAAACGAGAAGCTTGCTGCATGCGTCAGGGCGCTGTGAAGAAAAGATCTCACTTCTTGTCTGCCTTAGAAGTGAGCAGAGTCCAGGTCTGTGGCAGCTGGATCTGGTGCCCACCCCTGGGTGTCTAAGTACCGGAGGGTCCTCGTGATTCATATACTCCTGTGTTATTGGGAAGGATGTGACATTCTGCATTAACAGGCATTACATATTTCGGAAGAATCGATTGATTTCCTGCAGAACTTGGGAGCGTGTGGGAAAGTGCAGGACGACATTAAAAAGGGAAGATTTGAAGGTCGTGGAAAGCGGATGCTCTGACCGGCCGGCGGGAGGGCAGCTCTGTAGATCTGTGTTTTATGTGTACTGGTGGAGCACAGCTGTGGAGTACGCGCTCTGATCGGAGCCAGGTGTCTGTGCTCAGGGGATAAAACGATTTCTAAAATGATGCTTTGCTTACATGAGATGTTTATAAAGGGTGTAAGTTGGACCTCCGCTGCAGCTCATGGTATAAAACAGCTGGGAGCGGGATCACCCGAGAAGAGGAAGGTCTCCTAGGGGGCTTCAGACATGGAAAAACCCATAAACCGTTACTCGACCTTCATCTTCTCCATTTACGAATTCCATCTCATGTTTACAGCTCAGGTCAGAATATTCCATTGTATATAATCCGCTGCAGGCGCACAGGCCCTTTGTGTCCTCGCTGTCTCTGGGGATCCTGCACCGCCGAGGGGATGGAGGTCTGGCAGCCTTCATCCTTGTTCCCTTCTCTGACCTGAGGGTTGGAGGCCAGAAATCTGACAGGGAAAATTCTTGAGAATTATCTCCCAATAACATTTTTCTTTATTCACAGGAGATTTAAACAAATTTTATATCCTTTTTTGAGATAGATAGGGCTTTCTTATGCTGGTATTAAATAGTGCTCTTCTTTTTTTTTTTTTTTTTTTTTTTAGACCAACATTGTGAAAAAAAAAACTGATCTGTCACATTTCTTGAGGTCCTAAAATACCCCCCAAATAGTTTGGTTTAGAATGTAGTGTGTACAGTGCAGTAATCAGATTTCAGGAGCCAGGACTATATAATGCACATACCAGTTTGCAAATTTCAGTGTAAAAACACACACATGAGGGCACAAACTCCTCATTCATTACCTTAATAAACTTTAATAAATTCCAAGAGACAAAAACCTACTCAGAAAACACATGGAAACAGCAGGCATGTAAGAAATACAGCCATAGGAGGCTCGTTCCTATCTTGGAAAGGTCTGGTGGAAAATCTAACGCGTTTCGGGAGTCGAGCTCCCTTCTTGTTCAGCTCTGAAGACGGGAGCCTGACTCCCTTCCAAGAGACAATTCCAAGAGACAAAAACATACTCACAAACACATGGAAACAGCAGGAATATAAGAAATACGGCCTTAGGGGGCTCGTCCTTTCTCGGAAAGGTCTGGTGGAAAAACTAACGCGTTTCGGGAGTCGAGCGCTCTTCTTCTTGTTCAGCTCTGCAAACGGGAGCCTGACTCCCTTCCAAGAGACAAAAACATACAAATACATGGAAACGGCATGCATATAAGAAATACAGCCTTAGGAGGCTCGTTCCTATCTTGGAAAGGTCTGGTGGAAATCTAACGCGTTTCGGGAGTCAAGCTCCCTTCTTGTTCAGCTCTGAAGACGGGAGCCTGACTCCCTTCCAAAAGACAATTCCAAGAGACAAAAACATACAAATACATGGAAACAGCAGGAATATAAGAAATACTGCCTTAGGAGGCTCGTCCTTTCTCGGAAAGGTCTGGTGGAAAAACTAACGCGTTTCGGGAGTCGAGCTCTCTTCTTCTTGTTCAGCTCTGAAGACTGGAGCCTGACTCCCTTCCAAGAGACAAAAACATACAAATACATGGAAACGGCATGCATATAAGAAATACAGCCTTAGGAGGCTCGTTCCTATCTTGGAAAGGTCTGGTGGAAATCTAACGCGTTTCGGGAGTCAAGCTCCCTTCTTGTTCAGCTCTGAAGACGGGAGCCTGACTCCCTTCCAAAAGACAATTCCAAGAGACAAAAACATACAAATACATGGAAACAGCAGGAATATAAGAAATACTGCCTTAGGAGGCTCGTCCTTTCTCGGAAAGGTCTGGTGGAAACTAACGCGTTTCGGGAGTCAAGCTCCCTTCTTGTTCAGCTCTGAAGACGGGAGCCTGACTCCCTTCCAAAAGACAATTCCAAGAGACAAAAACATACAAATACATGGAAACAGCAGGAATATAAGAAATACTGCCTTAGGAGGCTCGTCCTTTCTCGGAAAGGTCTGGTGGAAAAACTAACGCGTTTCGGGAGTCGAGCTCTCTTCTTCTTGTTCAGCTCTGAAGACTGGAGCCTGACTCCCTTCCAAGAGACAAAAACATACAAATACATGGAAACAGCAGGCATGTAAGAAATACAGCCTTAGGAGGCTTGTCCTTTCGCGGAAAAGTCTGGTGGAAAATCTAACGCGTTTCGGGAGTCGAGCTCCCTTTTTGTTCAGCTTTGAAGACGGGAGCCTGACTCCCGAAACGCGTTAGTTTTCCACCAGACATTTCCGAGATAGGACGAGCCTCCTAAGGCTGTATTTCTTATATGCCTGCTGTTTTAATGTGTTTTGTAAATATATTTTTGTCTCTTGGAATTTACTACATTTTATTAAGGTAATGCACGAGGAATTTGCTCCCTCTTGTGTGTGTTTTTTACAGTGTTCTGGAATTTCCCTGATTCATGGAGGGCTGCACCCGAGGAAGCATTACATACTGATATATTGTTTGAAGCATCTTGGATTGAGCACTGGACTGTTTTATAAGAATTTTTGCAAATTTCAGGGGTCGAGTTAGCGCCCCCTTATGGTGAGGGTCAGTGGTGAGGGCCTATTTAAACGTTGCTGGTCAGTGGTGAGAACCCACTTTAAAAGAGAGGTATGGCCAAAGCTTTTTTGGCCATACCTCTCTTGCAATTATTTATGTTTCCCTGTGACCCAGAGTCAGCTGATATTGCCCAACTATCAGTTTAGGAAGCAGAGCGGCTCCAGGCTCTAGAAGGATCCTGACAATATTGTCGGGATTCATTTGGCTGCCTGATTGATAGCTGTGGCCACCCCCTTCCCAGCTCAGTGCTCCAGTGAGTGCTGGAGGAGCAGAGAGTGGTGACTGATTGTCTCTGCTGTCTGCATCCGAACAGACGAGAACTGAGCAATCAGTAGTCATGTGATCGCTCATCTCTCACTCAGAGTTGATGTGGGACAGCTGCAGATTCACACCGATGCTGCAGCATAGAAAGGAGTATGGATGTTTGTTGTTTTTTTTTTTTTTCATAAACTCATACTTCCTTTAATGTTTGGCGCCGAGTGCTCCATAACATATGGCAAGACACAACTGACCACAAATACATTGATGGTCATTTTGCTTTTTTTGGGTCCCTGTGCCCCCTGGCTGATCAGTATGCCCCCTTATCATTGGTGGCCAGAGGAAGGTGTAGGATCTCACATGTAAACACAAGCTGTGCTTATATTTGTGATGTCTCTGATTGGCCATCACAGTGGTCACATGCCAGCTCCATCACAGACATTTAATACTGGTGTGACGGGAGAGACTTTTGGGGGTGGGGGGGCCCCTGTATCAGCTCCTCATGTTCCTCTTATGTGTAGGCACCCTGTGCCTGTTAGGGGTGCAGGGTGATCTGTTCTAATATTGTGTCTTGGTTTGGTGGCGAGTGGGGGTGTTCATTGTTTAATGCCTTGTGGTTGTCCCATTGTTCTATTGGGTGTCTTGCTTGGGACAAACTATTATGGGTTGTATGTGTTTGTGTATTGGCTTGGTGGGGGGTGTCTGCTGATGTCTCTGGTTGCTAGATTTGGTTTGCCACGCCCTGTGTCCATATGCAGGGAGGTGGGTTGTTCCCCTGAATGTATATATCTTGTGTCTGTGTTAAAATAAAGCAGTTGACTTCCTGTCCTTTTTCCTGTATGGCCATCGGTGGTGTCCGTGGATCTGTGTTCAGACAGGGAAGCGGGAGTCTAACGGAAATACCCAAGCGCAGTCGGGGTCCGGTTCCATTACAACTGGATGCCCATGCTTTATTTCTACCGTGCCATTTATAAATGCACTCCAGAAGAAGAACTCTACCTCCTCAATGTTTTTCTTTACAATCCTGCAGTAGAAAGGTGGTCAAAATTGTCCTTAGTATGTGTATGTGTGTATATATGCATGTGAGATTCACTCAACTGGTAATAGAAAAAAATCTTCCTTCCTTTCTTGGCATCTCAATAATAATTAGACCGATATTCATGTTACAGATTTAATGAAACGTAACTCCACTTTGGAGCATTTTTTAGTGATGATGGTGGGACGTTTCCTGCCAGAATGATAATTTTTTCCTATTTTTACCCCTGTTCCATATGGAAATCCTCATTTTCATTTGATTTCTCCTTGGATAAAGCTATAGTTAGGTTTTCCTCCATTGAAATCCGGCTGCAGCTGTTCCAGCACTCCTTGTCTCTGAACTGTCACTGCGTGTGTACACTTGGCAGTTAGAGAAGCAGTGTATTATGAGGGGCGAGCTGCAGTATATGAGAAAAGATCAGAGTTTTGCAGGAGATGAGGGAAAAGGTAGGTGTCTTCAGGGCACAATGGGACCCCACTGGTCCTCAATAGGTGGACTCCGCATCCTCCTGTGTTCTTGGATCGTATATGTTTGTTTTTGCTTCCCAGGACAGGCCGCAACCTGCACAGCCACCAGCGTGAGGCGCCACTGACTAAGAAACACCTGCAGGTTACAGCGTATGGAACGGTGAGTGGCGGGACTCTGCTGCATTTTGTATAAATATATGAATATGCTCCTGACCATCACCTGATAACCCCCCTCCTCCTCTCCTCTCCTGCTCAGAACGGGACCGGGGACACTAATGATTTCTGGAGAATTGAGGTCTCTGGAGGGCGGAGCCCCGTGAAGGTTCTTCGCAGTCAGATCCGAATTTTGCACCTATCCACAGGCTGCGTCCTTGGCTCCTCAGGGAAGACCCTTCCCAAGTGGTATGTCACTCCCATCATTCCCTCTCCAAGCCTCATTACTTGTGTACTTCGAACCGCCCTGCAGAGGGAGGGGCCTCTTTTATTTGGTGTGCTTGTGAATATGTTTATATAGCTCTGATATGATCTGCAGTGCCATACAGAGAAGTCTGAGTCACTCACGTCTGTCTCTACGCCAGAGGAGCTTACACTCTACCGTCCCCACCACAGAATTATTATTATTATCACACATATATGCAGTGAAGGAAATAAGTATTTGATCCCTTGCTGATTTTGAAGCTTTGCCCCTCACAAAGAAATGATCGGTCTAAAAATCGAATGTTCGGTGTATTGTAACTCTGAGAGACAGAATAGCAACACAAAATTCAGCAGAAATGCATGTCTAACAAATGATGATTGATTTGCATGTTCATGAGGGAAATAAGTATTTGATCGCCTTCACAAAACATGACTTAGTACTTGGTGGCAAATCCCTTGTTGGCAATCACAGAGGTCAGACGTTTTCTGGAGTTGGCCACCAAGTTTGCACACATCTCAGGAGGGATTTTGGCCCACTCCTCTTGGCAGATCCTCTCCAAGTCATTAAGGTTTGGTGGCTTCCTTCACTGTACATAGCTCTGACTTATTCCACAGTGTTGTACAGAGAACACTGAGCCAGTCACATCAGTAGCTGCACCAGAAGAGCTTACACTCTAATGTCACACACTATTATTATAATACATTATATAGCTCTGACATTTTGGTGCTGTACAGAGAACACTGAGCAAGTCACATCAGTCTCTGCACCAGAGGGGCTTACACTCTAATGGTCTTCCACAGTCACAGACTATTATTATTATTCATTTATATACATTGGATATGAAAAGTCTACACACCCCTGTTAAAATTTCAGGTTTCTGTGATGTAAAAAAAATAAGACAAAGATAAATAATTTCAGAACTTTTTCCACCTTTAATGTGACCTATAAACTGTACAACTCAGTTGAACAACAAACTGAAATCTTTTAGGTGGAGGGAAGTAAAAAATAAAAAACTAAAATAATATGGTTGCATAAGTGTGCACACCCTTACACTAATCCATTGTTGAAGCCCCTTTTGATGTGATTCCAGCACTCGCTCTTTTTGGGTATGAGTCTATCAGCATGGCACATCTTGACTTGGCAATATTTGCCCGCTCTTCCTTGCAAAAAACACTCCAAATCTGTCAGATTGCGAGGACATCTCCTGTGCACGGCCCTCTTCAGATATCCCCACAGATTTTCGATCGGATTCAGGTCTGGGCTCTGGCTGGGCCATTCCAAAACTTTAATCATCTTCTGTTGAAGCCATTCCTTTGTTGATTTGGATGTATGCTTTGGGTCGTTGTCATGCTGAAAGATTAAGTTCCTCTTCATGTTCAGCTTTCTAGCAGAAGCCTGAAGGTTTTGTGCCAATATTGACTGGTATTTGGAACTGTTCATAATTCCCTCTACCTTGACTAAAGTCCCAGTTCTAGCTGAAAAAAAAAAAACAGCCCCAAAGCATGATGCTGTCACCACCATGCTTCACGGTGGGTATAGTGTTCTTTTGGTGATGTGCAGTGTTTTTGCACCAAACATATATTTTGGAATTATGGCAAAAAAGTTCAACCTTGGTTTCATCAGACCATAACACATTTTCCCACATGCTTTTTGGAGACTTCAGATGTGTTTTTGCAAAATTTACCCGGGCTTGGATGTTCTTCTTCATAAGAAATGGATTCCGTCCAGCCACTCTACCCCATAGCCCAGACATAAGAAGAATACGGGAGATTGTTGTCACATGGACCACACACCAGTACTTGCCAGGTGTTCCTGCAACTCCTTTCATGTTGCTGTAGGCCTCTTGGCAGCCTCCCAGACAAGTTTTCTTCTCGTCTTTTCATCCATTTTGGAGGAACGTCCAGTTCTTGGTAATGTCAGTGTTGCGCCATATTTTCTCCACTAGATGATGACTGTCTTCACTGTGTTCCATGGTATATCTAATGCCTTGGAAATTCTTTTGTACCCTTCTCCTGACTGATTTCTTTAACAATGAGATCCCTCTGATGATTTGGAAGCTCTCTGCGGACTATGGCTTTTGCTGTAGGATGCGACTAAGAAAATGTCAGGAAAGACCTACTAGAACAGCTGAACTTTATTTGGGGTTAATCAGAGGCACTTTAAATGATGGCAGGTGTGTACTGACTCCTATTTAACATGATTTTGAATGTGATTGCTTAATTCTGAACATAGCTACATCCCCAGTTATAAGAGGGTGTGCACACTTATGCAACCACATTATTTTAGTTTTTTATGTTTACTCCCCCCTTCTCAAAGACTTCAGTTTGTTTTTCAATTGAGTTGTACAGTTTATATCTCACATTAAAGGTGGAAAATGTTCTGAAATTATTTATCGTTGTCTCATTTTTTTTACATCACAGAAACCTTGCATTTTAACAGGGGTGAGTAGACTTTTTATATCCACTGTAGCTCTGACATATTGCATAGCTCTGTACAGAGAACACTGAGCCGGTCACATCAGTCTTATCTCTGTGTCGGTCCCTTCCTCTCCTTGTTCATTGAACTTGTATTTTATCTCTCATCTGCAGACGTGGGAAGGCCTCGGCCTCTTCTCTCTGGTCCTATTTTAATAAACAAAAATGTATACTCTAATATCACACACTATTATTATAATACACTTTATATAGCTCTGACATATTCTGTGGTGCTGTACATGGTTAAGATCTCATGGTGAGGGTGGATTACTGGCGAATGATGATATAATGATGACCTCTTTTGTTTAATATCAGGGGATGGGAGCAGGGGGAGGTCACGTGCAGTCCGTATTCACGGGAGAGCCTCAGCACCATGTGGAATGTGGAGGACCACGAGAACCCGCGATGTAAGTGCCAGCGATCGGCTACTGTAGTCAGATTCTGTTCTGTTTATGCAGACCCCGGTTATCATTGGTTTCGATTTGCCTGTCACTCATATAGACTCCTCTTCTATTTTCCTATGTGATAATAATTTATTTGGATGCCGTCCTAATTATGTCATACAATTTCCTGCTAGCCATGACTTGACAAATTAGGCAGGCCATAGGATATGTAATGCAAAATTGCTTGACTTTCCATATCAACACAGTGTTGATGGGGGAATCCCTCCTGCGGTGATCAATATGCAATCAAACGGTAATCATATGATGAGATGGTGATCATACAACAGAAGGACAGGATCAGTTGGTGATCATACAATAGAAGGACAGGATCAGTTGGTGATCATACAATAGAAGGACAGGATCAGTTGGTGATCATACAATAGAACAACAGGGTCAGTTGGTGATCATACAATAGAAGGACAGGATCAGATGGTGATCATACAAAAGAAGGACAGGATCAGATGGTGATCATACAATAGAAGGACAGGATCAGATGGTGATCATACAATAGAAGGACAGGATCAGATGGTGATCATACAATAGAAGGACAGGATCAGATGGTGATCATACAATAGAAGGACAGGATCAGTTGGTGATCATACAATAGAAGGACAGGATCAGTTGGTGATCATATGATAGGACAGGATCGGATAGTGATCATGCGATAGAAGAACAGGATCAGATGGTGATCATACAAAAGGACAGGATCAGATGGTGATCATACAACTGAAGGACAGGATCAGTTGGTGATCATACAATAGAAGGACAGGATCAGTTGGTGATCATACAATAGAAGGACAGGATCAGTTGGTGATCATAGTATAGAAGGACAGGATCAGTTGGTGATCATACTATGGAAGGACAGGGTCAGTTGGTGATCATACAATAGAAGGACAGGATCAGTTGGTGATCATACAATAGAAGGACAGGATCAGATGGTGATTATACAATAGAAGGATAGGATCAGTTGGTGATCATACAATAGAAGGAGAGGATCAGTTGGTGATCATATGATAGGACAGGATCGGATAGTGATCATGCAATAGAAGAACAGGATCAGATGGTGATCATACAAAAGGACAGGATCAGATGGTGATCATACAATAGAAGGACAGGATCAGATGGTGATCATACAATAGAAGGACAGGATCAGATGGTGATCATACAATAGAAGGACAGGATCAGATGGTGATCATACAATAGAAGGACAGGATCAGATGGTGATCATACAATAGAAGGACAGGATCAGTTGGTGATCATACAATAGAAGGACAGGATCAGTTGGTGATCATACAATAGAAGGACAGGATCAGTTGGTGATCATATGATAGGACAGGATCGGATAGTGATCATGCGATAGAAGAACAGGATCAGATGGTGATCATACAAAAGGACAGGATCAGTTGGTGATCATACAATAGAAGGACAGGATCAGTTGGTGATCATACAATAGAAGGACAGGATCAGTTGGTGATCATACAATAGAAGGACAGGATCAGTTGGTGATCATAGTATAGAACAGTGGTTCTCAACCTGTGGGTCGCGACCCCTTTGGGGGTCGAACGACCCTTTCACAGGGGTCACCTAAGACCATTGGAAAACACATATTTCCAATATGTAAAGAGCAGCTACTGTGTAGAAAGCAGCTGCTGTGTTGAAACCAGCTGTTGAAACCAGCTACTGTGTTGAAAGCAGCTACTGTGTTGAAAGCAGCTACTGTGTTGAAAGCAGCTACTGTGTTGAAAGCAGCAGTATTGGAGGTAAAACGACACTCATGAATTATAATTACTGGGTAAATAATTTTATGGTTGGGGTCACCACAACATGAGGAACTGTATTAAAGGGTCGCGGCATTAGGAAGGTTGAGAACCACTGGTATAGAAGGACAGGATCAGTTGGTGATCATACTATGGAAGGACAGGGTCAGTTGGTGATCATACAATAGGATAGGATCAGTTGGTGATCATACAATAGAAGGATAGGGTCAGTTGGTGATCATACTATGGAAGGACAGGATCAGTTGGTGATCATACTATGGAAGGACAGGGTCAGTTGGTGTGATCATACTATGGAAGGACAGGGTCAGTTGGTGATCATACAATAGAAGGACAGGGTCAGTTGGTGATCATACAATAGAAGGACAGGGTCAGTTGGTGATCATACAATAGAAGGACAGGGTCAGTTGGTGATCATACAATAGAAGGATGGGACCAGATGGTGATCATATGATAGAAGAACAGGATCAGATGGTAATCATAGAAGGATGAGACCCTACTATGATCATGCAATAGGACAGGATCAAATGGTGATCATACAATAAAAGTACGGGATCAGATGGTGATCATACAATAGAAGAACAGGATCAGATGGTAATAATAGAGGATGAGACCATACTATGATCATGCAATAGAAGGACAGGATCAAATGGTGACCATATGATAGAAAGATGGGATCAAATGGTGATCACACGATAGAATGACAGGATCAGATGGTAATCATACGATAGGACAGGATCAGATGGTAATCATATGACAGAAGGACCGGATCAGATGGTGATCATACAATAGAAGGACAGGATCAGATGGTAATCATACGATAGAAGAACGAGATCAGAAGGTAATCATATGATAGGAAGTGATCAATGGGATTACTTCTTTCAGAGGACCAGATTGGACCATTTGTAGTACCTTACAGTCTGAGATTTCAGTGAACATACATCTCTGCTTTTTGAAGTTTTCACAATTGTTTAAAAAAGATGTGCAATTTTACCTCTTTAGAGATCTATACTATGTGAAAGGAAGCAGTCGGTGTTTAGACATTGGGGAGGGAGGAGGGATTTGATTGCATTACGATGTGATGGAAGGAAATTGTAAAGTGTATGGCCACCTTGAATACCATAGTTACAGCATCTTTCCTGATGGCCTCCCTGAACTTGTTGTCTCCTCTGCAGTGCCAAACATCAGTGTCTCCATCTTGAAGCCGTCGTTCCTGGAGATCCTGTTGGAGTCGCATGTTGTCATGGTGCGGGTAAGTGTCACACATTGCCATGGTGCGGGTAAGTGTCACACATTGCCATGGTGCGGGTAAGTGTCACACATTGCCATGTTGCGGGTAAGTGTCACACATTGCCATGTTGCGGGTAAGTGTCACACATTGCCATGTTGCGGGTAAGTGTCACACATTGCCATGGTGCGGGTAAGTGTCACACATTGCCATGGTGCGGGTAAGTGTCACACATTGCCATGGTGCGGGTAAGTGTCACACATTGCCATGGTGCGGGTAAGTGTCACACATTGCCATGGTGCGGGTAAGTGTCACACATTGCCATAGCGTGGGTGTCACACGTTGCCATGGTGCGGGTAAGTGTCACACGTTGCCATGGTGCGGGTAAGTGTCACACGTTGCCATGGTGCGGGTAAGTGTCGCATGTTGTCATGGTGCAGGTAAGTATCACATGTTGCCATGGTATGCTATGGTGTCTCTCGCTCGGTGTCAGGTCGAAACCTTCTCTTTCCTCTTTCCTGAAGGCAAACAGTGGCCTTAAACCCAAAGAGCATGAGTGACATCAAAACCGTGGCACTGGCCAATCAACTTTCAGGTGAGTCGTGGTGTGAATGGCAGTAATCCCACCGTCTCACAGAAACCCCTCACTGTGCTGTACGGCAAGCGGGAGAGACTGCATTTATTTATTTATTAATATTCTGTCTGTGCAGGGTCTCCGCTTCTCCGGCATTAATGCTACAGACACCCGCGTTTATCTCCTGGGAAATCCGGTGAGTGTGTCTGCTGGTCCACCGAGTGATGTAGTGACTATTGGGAGCTGATTGCTTGGTATGAGTAGCACAGGCACCCCCCTCCTTCCCTTCATACGGAGCTGGCTGTGTTATGTCTGTGTTGTTCTACTCTGGTGCTCAGAGACTGCTATCACAGCTGTGATAATCCTGGGTCACGTTCTTCAGTTTCCAAGTAGCAGCACATATGTGATAATAAGGAACAGGCCACGTTCTCCTAATTTCAAGTATTATTATTAAACAGGATTTATGTAGCGCCAACAGTCTGTGCAGTGCTTTACCCTCTAAAGGGAGAATGTATTGTTCCAATACTGTAAAATACAAAGGGGTTAAGAGGGTCCTGCTCATAAGAGCTTACAATCTAACCGGGTGGGGCAAGTGGTACAAAAGGTGATAGCTTGGAGAGATGAGCTGATGGAAAAGTTAAAAGTTCAGTAGTTAGGTGGTGGTGGACAGGCTTCCCTGAAGTGCTGAGTTTTTAGGGATTGCCCAAAGGTGGCCAGAGTAGGAGATAGCCGAAAGATAAGTTCCAGAGAATGGGAGAGGCTCTGGAGAAGTCCTGGAGATTATTATTATTATTATTATTATTATTACATCGAGTTTATATAGCGCCAAAGGGTTTGCTCAGCGCTGTACAATAAAGGGGGGGGGGGGGACAATACATGAAACAGTACAGCAACTACAAACAGCACACGAGGGGTTAGAGGGCCCTACTCTTTCGAGCTTACAATCTAGAAGGGAGGGGGTAGTGGTACAGGAGGAAATGGCTGTGGGGGATGGAGTGGTAGGAGGAATGAAGGAGAACTGCTGTTAGGTGAGGGTGGGGTAGGCTTCCCTGAAGAGATGAGAAATAGAAAAGAAAAATAGAAAGAATATATCCGTCTTCTGAAATTCGAATAGAATAAATTTGAATGCCAATTCGAATTCCGATTCAAATTTTCTGAATTGAATTTGAATCAAATTACAAAATTAAACAAAATGAATTAAACAAATTAAACTAAATGATTTAGATAACGAATCGAAACTAAACTAATTTTTCCGTTCTGAACAGGTCTAGAAATAACATAACATTTTAAAGATCCTAGTAAGGGGTGAAGGTAGGAGTGAAGGCATGTGTGGGGGAGGGGTGAAGGCACAAGTGGGGGAAATATGAAGGGAAGAGTGGGGTATGGATGAGGGCAGATGTTGGGGGATGAAGGCAGAAGCAAGAGCATAGGTGGGGGAGATGAGCATGGGTGGAGGGGACAAGAGAGCTTTGAGAGCAGGAGGTCTTGGGAGGAGTGGAGAGGACTCTCAGTATTAGGAAGTAGTTGCCCTGTACCCAGCACAGACGCCTTTCATATTGGTTCCTACTGGAAGGCATTGATTATGTGTGTATTCTATATAAATGATCTTGTTTCCTCCTCTCTGCATCAGGTCATCTGGTGGCTCAATCTGGCCTGTCTGGGTGTGTACGCACTCCTGGTGGTCTGGGCAGCAGTCTCCCTCCAGCGTGGCCTATGCCTGTCTGAACCAGTGAAAGGTAAATCTGTGCAGCTGGTTCTGTGAATTCCTTAGCTGTGTTTCCCCCGTATGGCTGGTTCTGTAATTCTCCTGAATGTGTGGTTCCCTTGCAGCTGGTCCTGTGACTTTCCTGCTGGCTGTGTGAGCCCCATGTGGCTGGTTCTGTGATTTCCCTGGCTCTTTGGCTTTCATGTGACTAGTACTGTGATTGTCCTGGCTGTGTGGCCCCTGTGCAGCTGGGCCAGTGATTCTCCTGGCTGTGTACCCCCCCTGTGTGGCTGCTTCTATGATTCCCCTGGCCCTGTGTCCCCCTCTAACAATGACATCTTTGTATTATAGAGAGTTACATCCTACTCCTGGAGAGTGGAGGACCGCTGCTGCTGGGGTGGCTGCTGCATTATTGTCCATTCTACTTCATGGGTCGAGTGCTGTATTACCACCATTACTTCCCGGCCCTGCTCTTCTCCTGCATGTTGACTGGTGGGTATCTGCAGACTGGCACGCTAGATATGAACAGGCTTCTCAAACTACAGGACTGGCATAAAATCATACCTCCTCCCCCTTTCTTGAACATTGGCATAAAGTTGTGTGTGAAATTTCCATGATGAAAATGAGCAGAAAATAAGTAAAATCTATAAAGTTGACTTTTTTGGTAGAATTTTTTCAAAATATGGGATCTGATGAAAATATTATACCCAGTTTTTCCATAAAAATAGCAGAAAAGCAATGCTCAGCTTTATAAATGGCTTAACCGCCATTGTATATAAATGGCTGGACAGTGGCAGTGCAGGGTCGGGTGGCCGTTTATAAGCGGCCTCCCCGCCCCATGCTTGTGCGCGCTCCCTGGGAGCACGCAGCACCGCGATCCAGTGCCTGCTGTGTCCTTCATGCAGAGTAGTAAGCAAGATGTCACTTCGGACATCATTGCTTACTACGTGTGAAATCTGTGAATGATCACAGAGGTCACATGGTACAAGGCTATTCACAACAGCCTTGTACCATGTGACAAGCTGTGACCAATCACAGGTCACACAGTAGTTCTCAATCGCTGCAAGAATGCAGCCAGAGAGAAGGAGAAATGATTGCTTTTACAGCCTTTATGGGTGTAAAAGCAATCCGTGTAAAAAAAAAAAAAAAAAATCTTCATCACCCCCCCACAAGTAGTAACATGGTGACACTGTACTGCTAGGGTGACAGTATGTAAAAAAAAAAAAAAAAAAGAAAAACATAAATTATAATATGAAAAAAATAAAAATGTAAAAAAAAAAGTTTAAAAAATTATAATTTTTGGTTATAAACCAATTTGGGTTATTTTTTTTTTTTTTTACTAAAAAGATAACGGAATAAATTTTGACCAAGATTTATAATGAAATATTATTTGCAAAATTTTATAAGAAAAACACTTTTTTTCAAAATGTTTGGACTTTTCATTTACATAGCAAAAAAAAATAAAAATCCCAGTGGTGAATAAATACCACCAAAATAAAGGTTTATCTGTCTCAAAAAAAATGCTAAAAAATTCATATGGGTACAGTGTTGCATGACCGCGCAATTGTCATTCAAAGTGTGATAGCGCTGAAAGCTGAAAATTGGCCTGGACTGGAAGGGGGTGGAAGTGTCCGGACTGGAAGTGGTTAAGGATGATCCACCTCCTTTCCACCAATGTGTCACTTCACCAGTCTCTCCTCTGCTCCCCCATCTCTGAACACAATGCCTCCATCCCCATGATGGCTGGTGGCAGGTGACACTATAGGGGTTATTTACTAAAACCATATGGTGCAAAATCTGGTGCAGCTCTGCATAGAAATCAATCCACTGCAAGGTTTTGGCAAACCTTAAGCCCCGGTTCACATCTATGTGGCCGTGCGGGCCGCGTTTTGCGAGGGCACGAGAGCCCATTCATTTGAATCGACTCCTGTGCCCCGTGTCACGCAGAGAAGAGGTCCCTGCAGTCCTTTTAAAAACGCAGCCCACACGGGAACCTCGGTTCCCAGTACGGTTGCGTTTTCCAGTGCGGGCAGCGTGCCATTAGAACTAATGGCACCTGCCCGCAGATCCACATTCCTCTGTGCGGGTGGTGCGGCTGCACGGATTTTCGTGCGGATTCGCAGCGGCACCACCTGCACAGATGTGAATCTAGCCTAATTGAACAAGCTGAAGTTAGAAGCTGATTGGCTACCATGCACAGCTGCACCAGATTCTGAGTGATCCTGTTTTAGTAAATCTCTCCCTTTGGTGAATATTAGTTAGAAGACGGGAGGGGGGCTGTGGAGGATTTAAGAAAACGGGGGTGTCAAGCAGGCCTTGGTGAGGGGCACTCAAAGTGTATTAGGTGTATGGGGGAAGATGTGGAGTGTACTAATGAGAAGATAGGGGGCAGCTATGAAGGATATTAGAATATTGGGGTGTCAGACAGGCAGATGAGGGTGTTAGTGAGATGATGGTATCAGATTGGTCTTAAAGTGATTGTAAAAGTAGATTTTTTTTTTTTTAAAATAACAAGCGTGTCATACTTACCTGTTCTGTGTAACGGTTTTGCACAGAGAATCCCATGTCCTCTTCTCGGCTCCCCCAGTCAGTGCTTCTGGCCCCTCCCTCCTGCAGAGTGCCCTCATAGCAAGCAGCTTGCTATAGGTGTACCCGAGCAGGCTCGCTCCAAAGCCGCTGCTCTGTGTGTCCATTCACACACAGATGTGGCTTGGCTCCAACTCCCGCTACTCTCCTAATTGGCTCACTGGCTGTGATTGACAGTAGCAAGAGCCAATGGCTTCTGCTGCTGTCTCAGCCAATGAGGAGGGAGAGTTCTGGGAGGGCCAAGGATCTTGTGCACGGCGCTGGATCGACATGGGGCTCAGATAAGTATTAGGGGGGACTCCTGCACAGAGAAGATTTTTTTACCTTCATGAATAGACTGTATGAAGGTAAAAACCTTGAGCCTTTACAACCGCTTTAATGAGTGTGTGAAGTCAGTGCAACATAGACAGCAGAGATGACAAATACAGGGTTCTGGGGACTGAGAGTGAGGGATATGGAAGGATGATGGAATAGGGAGGAGGTAGCACTGGCCAGTCCTGGGTTAGTGGTTGTAACAGTACAGACACTGATATGGCTATGATGGTATGGAAACCCATTTTGCTGTAATGGTACAGATAATGATATGGCTGTGCCAGTACTGGCGCTGATATAGCTGTGACGGTGCTAACACTTCTATGTATATGATGGTATGGACACTGGTATGGGTGTGATGGTATGGACACTGGTATGGGTGTGATGGTGATGGTATGGACACTGGTATGGGTGTGATGGTATGGACACTGGTATGGGTGTGATGGTATGGACACTGGTATGGGTGTGATGGTATGGACACTGGTATGGGTGTGATGGTATGGACACTGGTATGGGTGTGATGGTATGGACACTGGTATGGGTGTGATGGTATGGACACTGGTATGGGTGTGATGGCATGGACACTGATATGGATGTGATGGCATGGACACTGGTATGGATGTGATGGTATGGACACTGGTATGGATGTGATGGTATGGACACTGATATGGATGTGATGGTATGGACACTGGTATGGATGTGATGGTATGGACACTGGTATGGATGTGATGGTATGGACACTGATATGGGTGTGATGGTATGGACACTGATATGGGTGTGATGGTATGGACACTGATATGGGTGTGATGGTATGGACACTTGTATGGGTGTGATGGTATGGACACTGGTATGGGTGTGATGGTATGGACACTGGTATGGGTGTGATGTGATGGCATGGACACTGGTATGGATGTGATGGTATGGACACTGGTATGGATGTGATGGTATGGACACTGATATGGATGTGATGGCATGGACACTGGTATGGATGTGATGGCATGGACACTGGTATGGATGTGATGGTATGGACACTGGTATGGATGTGATGGTATGGACACTGGTATGGATGTGATGGTATGGACACTGGTATGGATGTGATGGCATGGACACTGGTATGGATGTGATGGTATGGACACTGGTATGGATGTGATGGTATGGACACTGGTATGGATGTGATGGTATGGACACTGGTATGGATGTGATGGTATGGACACTGGTATGGATGTGATGGTATGTACACTGGTATTGGTGTAATGGTATGGACACTGATATGGATGTGATGGTATGGACACTGGTATGGATGTGATGGTATGGACACTGGTATGGATGTGATGGTATGGATACTGGTATGGACACTGGTATGGATGTGATGGTATGGACACTGATATGGATGTGATGGTATGGACACTGGTATGGATGTGATGGTATGGACACTGATATGGATGTGATGGTATGGACACTGGTATGGATGTGATGGTATGGACACTGGTATGGATGTGATGGTATGGACACTGGTATGGATGTGATGGTATGGACACTGGTATGGATGGGATGGTTTGGACACTGGTATGGATGTGATGGTATGGACACTGGTATGGATGTGATGGTATGGACACTGGTATGGATGTGATGGTATGGACACTGGTATGGATGTGATGGTATGGACACTGATATGAAATATTTGGTCTGAGCTGAGCTGATATTGTCTCTCCTATTCCAGCACTGACACTCTCTGTCCTGTTGAAGTTGTCTGCTCATCTCTTGTGTCCATGTCAGCTGCGCTCTGCATATACAACAGGGATGACTATGCTGATTCTCATCCTTATATACAGGTGAGTCCTCTCAGGGGAAACAAGCAGTCATAGGGGTATGGTCGATTCCTGTTAAGATTGGGGAGTTTCTGGTTATTTTCGATATCATTAACAGATCACAGTGTGTGTGTTTTACATTTCCTCAAGTAGCCTAACAAACACTCCCAGAATTCTCTGGGCCCTTAAATATGAATTCCACCCTCTGAATCTCTGCGGGATTCTTCCCCTAATACCTGTCCTTTCTTCTCTTCCAGCTTCTACCTCTTTCATCCCCTTTCGTATGGAATGGAGGGGCCCCTGGCAGATGAGCAGCACAGCCCTATGTCAGGGCTGCGATGGATGGACTCCTGGGAGTTCTAGGTCTCCACAGTGCTCCTTGCAGGCCTCTGTGCTTTGGGGGGTCTCTGGCTCAGTCCTGGTGCTGGAGATGCTGTGCTTTGTGGAGCCATCATAGACTGTAATGTGCGAGCAGCCATATTCCGGAACAGCTGAGCGCACAGAACGCTGTATGGACGCAATGTGGATACACATTATGTTGCTGCTGAACTCAGACTTGTCACTGCCAACAGGAGGCATCTGTCCTCCATATGTGGGGTAAGGCACCATTAAATTTATCTACTCCTGCCCCCCCCCCCACTATGTTCACACCACTGCCAGGTCACATGTTTCCTTTTCATCTTATTTTCTGTATGAATTGGGAAGAGATAAAAGTGCAGAGGACTTTTTCTCTGTTGGGGAAGAGGGAAGGGGGCGCAGGAGTCAGGGTCCTCTTTTAGCGTCCTTTATTAGTGTAGGTGGGCGGTTATTGTCCTCTATCCTGACGGGTATTTGGCAGATCTCCCACTCACATCTGGAGGATGCAGAGGTGTGCCAAGAAAGACCTAGAATGGGATAGTTTGCTGTGTTGCTCTTAGGATAATGCAAATATAGCGATCCTCAAACACTGACAAATCTGTCCGAACATGGGTAAAGTGGGTGGCAGGCAACTCTGCGAAGGAGCCCTTACTGTGTAGCACTGAGAGCACTGTGTCATGTCACACCAATGAACTGTGTATGATGCACTGATTCCACCCTCCCTTTCTATGGCTCACATTCCCATCACGCTGATAAAGAACACTACTCGTCATCCCCCAAACTGATTCAAAACACTAACCGCTTCTCAACTAATAGAAAACACTAAGGGAGGATGAACATTAAGCAATTTTCTTTCCTGCAACCACAGAGCCTTCCCTGCCAGCAGAACACAGTGATCACTGCTGGTGGCTCTAGCCGCCAGCAGTGATCGCATGAAAAAAATCTGAGTTGTACTGAAGTCGATCGATGGATTGACTTCAATACAACCAGCCTGCTCATATATGGATCAAATCTCAGACAGTCACTGCTGAGATTCGATCCGTCTCTGACAGTCTACATTCCCCCCCACCATGGATAAAGAGCACTAACCTCCCCTCTCTCACACGTGGAGATCAAGAACAATAATCCCCCCCACCGGCTACACTGATAGAGAACACTAACCCACGCACCCCACCTTCCCTTCCTGTCTCATATTACTAAAAATCCCCATTCAAACACTAATAGAATACAATGACCCCTCCCCCCCATACACACTAATAGAAAACACTAATGGATGAGAACACTAAACTCTGCTCCCCACCCCTAGCCCGACACTGAAAGGACACCCCAACCCCGAATAACCCTACGTCTAGCCCAGGGCTTGAAAAAGCCGCTCGCCTGCTCGCCAAATGCGAGGAGAAATTCCTCTGTGGCGAGCATGGACCTGTGTTCCAAGCCTCATTGTGAAGCCGAGTTCCGGTTTACAACTTCCGGTTTCTAGCTTCTTCGGCACCTCCGCCGAGGGGACAGGTGCAGGAGAGGTCCGCTCTCCTCCGCTGAGAGGAGACACCCTCTCCACCGCCGCGGGGGACTCGGGGGGACAGTAATTACTGTATACATGTCCTATCACTATAATGCAGTACAGGGGAGCTGGGATATACATTACTGTGTACATGTCCTATCACTATAATGGAGTACAGGGGAGGGGGGGATATACATTACTGTATACATGTCATATCACTATAATGGAGTACAGGGGAGCTGGGATATACATTACTGTGTACATGTCATATCACTATAATGGAGTACAGGGGAGGGGGATATACATTACTGTATACATGTCATATCACTATAATGGAGTACAGGGGAGGGGGATATACATTACTGTATACATGTCATATCACTATAATGGAGTACAGGGGAGCTGGGATATACATTACTGTGTACATGTCCTATCACTATAATGGAGTACAGGGGAGGGGGGGGATATACATTACTGTATACACGTCATATCACTATAATGGAGTACAGGGGAGGGGGGATATACATTACTGTATACACGTCATATCACTATAATGGAGTACAGGGGAGGGGGGGATATACATTACTGTATACACGTCATATCACTATAATGGAGTACAGGGGAGGGGGGATATACATTACTGTATACACGTCATATCACTATAATGGAGTACAGGGGAGGGGGGATATACATTACTGTATACACGTCATATCACTATAATGGAGTACAGGGGAGGGGGGGATATACATTACTGTATACATGTCATATCACTATAATGGAGTACAGGGGAGGGGGGGATATACATTACTGTATACATGTCATATCACTATAATGGAGTACAGGGGAGGGGGGATATACATTACTGTATACATGTCCTATCACTATAATGGAGTACAGGGGAGGGGGGGATATACATTACTGTATACATGTCATCACTATAATGGAGTACAGGGGAGGGGGGATATACATTACTGTATACATGTCATATCACTATAATGGAGTACAGGGGAGGGGGGATATACATTACTGTATACATGTCATCACTATAATGGAGTACAGGGGAGGGGGGATATACATTACTGTATACATGTCATATCACTATAATGGAGTACAGGGGAGGGGGATATACATTACTGTATACATGTCATATCACTATAATGGAGTACAGGGGAGGGGGGATATACATTACTGTATACACGTCATATCACTATAATGGAGTACAGGGGAGGGGGGATATACATTACTGTATACATGTCATATCACTATAATGGAGTACAGGGGAGGGGGGATATACATTACTGTATACATGTCCTATCACTATAATGGAGTACAGGGGAGGGGGGATATACATTACTGTATACATGTCATCACTATAATGGAGTACAGGGGAGGGGGGATATACATTACTGTATACATGTCATATCACTATAATGGAGTACAGGGGAGGGGGGATATACATTACTGTATACATGTCATCACTGTAATGGAGTACAGGGGAGGGGGGATATACATTACTGTATACATGTCATATCACTATAATGGAGTACAGGGGAGGGGGATATACATTACTGTATACATGTCATATCACTATAATGGAGTACAGGGGAGGGGGGATATACATTACTGTATACATGTCATATCACTATAATGGAGTACAGGGGAGGGGGGGATATACATTACTGTATACACGTCATATCACTATAATGGAGTACAGGGGAGGGGGATATACATTACTGTATACACGTCATATCACTATAATGGAGTACAGGGGAGGGGGATATACATACTGTATACACGTCATATCACTATAATGGAGTACAGGGGAGGGGGATATATATTACTGTGTACAGTTTTATATTTTGGACTCTTTATTTTAAAGAAAAATTTAATTTCATAAGGGGGCGTGGTTGTTATAGACCATCACAACCAGTGCAGAAGGTTGGAGTATTCCTGAGACCATATTGTAGGTGTGGCGTGACTACAGGAGCACTGCAGGCTGTTCGCCGTGTGGGAGGAGCTACTTGGCGGACATGTGCGGTGATTTGGTCATTATTGGCAAACTCCAAATGAGAGTACAATTATTACCATCCAATACAATGGTTGTGAGATACGCTGTACATAGTTACATAGTTAGTCTGGCTGAAAAAAGACAAATGTCCATCCAGTTCAACATTCGCTGTACATTCGTCATGTATCGCTGCAGATATACGCAGGGTGCGCCGTCTGACCGCCTATAGCGCGGGGCTGCAGCACCCATTAAGGAAGCATCCAGTGATGTGTTTGTGTTCAGCTGACACTGGGCACTACCAAACACCAGCAGAATCACTACTATGACATTTTTTAGAGGGGCCAATAAACAGGATTTCTATTTTTCTGCCCTGTAAATGTCTATCTGCATGTCAGTTGTGTCCTGCCCCCCCCCTCCCCCACCTGTTTCCCGCTCTCACTGATCTGTGACGGTGTGTGACACGTTTGTCAGGCAGACAGCGGAGGAGCAGTCGGTCACGCTCTGTATCTCGGCAGTTTTAGCCATTTTAGGAAGTTGAAGCTGTCATGATGCCTGAGTTTTTATCTGGCCAGAAGAGCACAGCTGTCTTCCGTCCGCCCTGCATGACACGTTCCCCCCCATCTCCGCCACTGCTGGTATGACATTAACCCCTCCGGCGCTCCGCCGCACTCTGATCAGAGAATTATATGTCACCCTCGAGACCCCCATAAATGGCGAATAAAATCTCAGCCACCATATTAGGAGCCGTACTGCTGATACATTGCGGGTAAATAATGTTTTTTTTTAATTCCTCAGGAAAAAAAACACCTCGGATAAAAGGGGCTGATTGGTGTAGATAACCAATATTTCTGTCGACGCTCTTGGCGTCGTCAGGTGCGGTATTGAATCTGCGGCTCAAGTTCTTATGGTGGATTGTTAATACAGATTTTATTAATGACCAGCATGCTGGTGTATTTTCCTCTCCCGTTCAATCTCGGCAATATACTGAGACCCCGATGTGTCATCTCTCTGCAGATCTGATCAGACAATATGGAGAAATAGTTCGTTGTGTGACTGGCTCTTGCATTGTTCGTTGATT